GTGTCTTGGTGGCGATGCTTGCCTCGTGAGTTCATCAAGTCATTCATCACACAGCAACAGATCTTCACCGGGAATGCTAGCTTGTCCTGCCGGAGTCATCGGAAACTCATCGCCTTCACCTGGAACACCCAGGATACTCACAAGATCAGCATGTTATCATAAGCGAAACATGTATTTAAGTCTTACTGCTTATTGAAACTTTACGCAATTTAAAAAACTTTACTAAAGCAGTATTATTGTTTGTACCAAAATTGAAATGTCATGTTTGTTCCAATGGTGCATACGTCTCTTATGCTAGTAAAAAAGCACTTCCTAACCATATGTGCAATATGGCCTGCTGCTCATTCTCTTATTTAGCATACCTGTCTAAATAACTCTGCATAAATAACTCTGCATGTAGGGAATGCTTTTTATTTTTTATTTCTGTTCTATTTGATTTAGAAGCTTAGTGCTTTGCTCTTTTCTTTTCTTTTCAGCAACAACAATCAGCAATAGCTATGCTATAATTTGTAAGTTCTCTTGTCCAGGTATTACTAGTTCCAGCAATTATCAGACTAAATGTTATTTCTCAAATGATATTGGGTCAACAACTTGCCTTGTCTTTCTATGGATTCAGATTTGAATTTTTTTTTCTGTATTTTGGTATGATCATGACAATTATCTTAAATAATATTTTCAATGGGTGTAGACTTTGGTTGAGTACCAAATAATCAATTTCATCACAATTTGTAAATGAGGAAATGTCGCTAGCTACATCTTGAATACTATAAAGAATAGATTTCATGATCTGAGTACATTTTATAAAATCCTTCAAGGTTTGCAAAGACAACAAATCTTGACTGATAACTCCTCAAACTGTGACCTAAACAAGCATTATCCTTGCCTTTGAATTGCATTGAAAGTAGACGTTATTGATAGGACTGTAAACTATAAAGTCAGTAGTAAGAACTGACTGCTTGCATTTGGTAAATTTAAACTTATTTTATTGCCATATAACAATCTGATTCGAATATATGATTCACTTGCAAGGTTGTTAGCAATGTCAAATGGCCTGTTCAGAAACTTATTTTATTTCATTTGCTTGGATTTGGGTTTTGGAACTCGGTGAGGACAGGTGCAAGTCCATCAGTTCTTGTGCTTCTCAGGTTGTGTTGGTCCATCAGTTCTTGTGCTTCTCACTTCTCAGGTTGTGTCGGTAGTTAGCTTGTCTCTGTAATTGCAAAATTACCTCTCAGTTTCAGTACATGCTTTTCAGTGAAGGCAGAACGAAATAGTTGAAATGGCTTTGCATGTACTTGCAGTTTGGTTTCAAGAGCTAGCAGTTTATAGTTTTGGAGCTTAGTGGATTTTCAAATGCTAATTAGAGCTTTTGTTAGCCTAGGTATTGTTAGATCTATTTAAGCTCATTACTTGGTACTTATTTTCTTTTAGTTCATTATTGGCTACTTATTTTCTTTTGTGCTGTTTGGTTCATTTGCAGGTTAAAGCAAGGAGTAAAGCGAGCAACATGGGAGCTTCAGATTTTTTTTTTAAAAAAAAATTCAAACTTTGCCGAGTGCCGGCCAGAGGGCACTCGGCAAAGAAATTTTTTTTTAAAAAAAATTGAAACTTTGCCGAGTGCCGGCCAAAGGGCACTCGGCAAAGAATTTTTTAAAAAAATTCAAACTTTGCCGAGTGTCTTGGCGGCGAAGGCACTTTCGGCAAAGAATTTTTTAAAAAAAATCAAACTTTGCCGAAAATGCGGCGGAGGGGCACTTTCGGCAAAGAATTTTTTTAAAAAAATTGAAACTTTGCTTAGTGTCGGCTAGAGGCACACTCGCAAAGAATTTTAAAAAATCAAACTTTGCCGAAGCCGGCGGGTGGGCACTCGGCAAAATTTTTTTTTTAAAAATAAAAATCTTTGCCGAGTGCCTGCAGGGTTGGCACTCGGCAAAGCCACCGTCGACGGATTCGGCGCCGTCACGGTTGCTTTTCTTTGCCGAGTGCCACCGGGAATCTCGGCAAAGCCTTTGCCGAGTGCCCGATAAAAGACACTCGGCAAAGAGGTCTTTGCCGATTAATTTTTTGCCGTGTGTTCTTTGCCGAGTGCCGCACTCGGCAAAGGCTTTGCCGAGTGCAATTAGGCCTTTGCCGAGTGCCTCAGGCACTCGGCAAAGAACCTGAATCCAGTTGTGACCGCCGCGCCTAGGGCCCCTCTCCTCCATCCTCTCGGACATCTTCCGGGGATAAGAAGGGGAGGGGACCCATCCTTTTTCGTGCAGTTTCACATCTAGTTGCTTAGGGTTTAGTCAAATAAATTTTCCAGCGAAATCAGATGATTTTCGGTCAGGATTGTGTTTCCTGTTATGACTTCGGTGATTGCCACGACAAGATCATTGTTGCAGGCGTCGATTTCATCGGCAGACGGCCAATTTGTGGCCTTTATCTTCCAGGGGAGGGGTGCTTCCGGGCGCTCCCAACATGGACAACTACTCTAGGTCATCGATCTGTTCGTCGATGGTCACGGAGAGTAAGGTTTGGAGGTGATGTATCCGCATCCTATGTTGTATCTGACGATGCAACTGTCGATATTCTTTGATCGGTTCAGATGGGTTTTGGGTTGCTTTCGAATCGTTGGATCTTGCGGCATGTCTAATGTCTAATGTAAGAAATGCACTTTGGCTCTAGCGTTCGAGAAAAGGCATTGGAGAAAAAGATGATGGAAGAATCTGAATAAAATATTATGTATTTTTTATTTTAGATTTTTTTCATGTGTAATTTAGAGATGTAATGTGCCAAGTTTTAATATGACCCCCTTTCCTTAATAAAAGGATAGGATCTGGCAGATGTAGTTGTCATCGGCACATCCGAACATTTGCATCTATCAATCTGAAAACAAGGCAGTCTTCTTACTCCACAATCGGGGCGTTCGCTGGTCTGAAAAGTTCAGACCAGCCGGCTGCTCTCTTCACAAAAACATTGTTCATCTTTCATCCGCTGCAGTATTTCTCTCTCACACAACCAGCCGCTACAGTGTTTTGGCTTCTTTTTTTTCCGACAAGCGAACAGGGCCAATGCAAAGGAGCTACATGCAGTATAGAAAAGTGTGCAACCAATCAGTAGAGGAAAAGCTCCACAATGAAAAGTCAAAATTCTCTAGCTGCACATATAACTGAACTTTTTATAAGCCCAAATATAATATAATTTAAATAGCACATTTGTTCATACTTGAAGCAAAGTCAAATAGTACAAAAAACCAGTAACAAAAAAATAGTGCCCAATCTCTCCTCTAAAGAAAAAACTGTGGGCGGCAAACTTGATTTCTCACAGGTCTCTAGCTAGCAAAGGTAAACTACTTGGTAGCTAATTTCTCACAGCTAACTCTTCTACATACAAGTTCACACATGCCATATATGAAGCAGTGAAAAAACATGGCAATCAAGGTGATGCATTCAGAACAATATGACATATAATCAGCAAGTCTGAAATTGATCGATATAGCGTGACTAGTTTGCATTTGCAACCAAGTGCAACCAGTGCCTTCATCAGCATCTGCAGTCTCCAGATGCATTAATTCAGACATGACATATGACTACTTTCCTTGATCAGCTAGGAGGAATGCATCTGCAACCATCAATATATAAGAGATGTGTACACAGCTTTGTCAAGAAACATACACTTCTTATCAACCATTTCATTCATCAACTGCACAGCCTTATTCAAGGAACCAGTCTTGCAGAAACCATCAATTCAACGGCAGGTAGAAACTCTGATGGACCTGCTATCACTTAAAAGAATCGAGGTTAACCCATCGAGTAGCAGCAGCACTAGCAGATAACGAATCAGACCTCGTGTGCAATGATTGGGGGCGAATCGGCCAAGCAAGATCCACCATGGAGAAGCCCGGCCCAGTGCTGCATGCCGCACCGCCGCTACTGCCGCCGCGGCTGGCCCGCCGTTGCCACGACCAACGGCCCAACGGGGATCGATCTTGCCGCCGCGTCATGCTGCGGCCAACAGAGATGCGTGTCATCCAGCGCCATTTAATTTCCGCGCGACTGAAGGGGGCGTGACTCAAGGGAAAGTGCGGGATGTAATTTAGCGCGCGTGCTACGACGGTGATGCTGTCTCCAGCTCGGGAAGGTGCGTTGTACGTGGCCGAAAACGGCGAAATAGTCGAATGGATGTTATGAGTCAACATTAAACATGAACCTAGACATATACGGAGTATCTAGGCAGGCATATATTCAAAGTGTAAAGTAGGGAAGGATTAAAACTTGGACCAAAAAGTGGATAAAATTAATGTGAGCGCGATGAGTTGGTATATGATAACTTTCTTTCCTTTTTATGATTCTTACAGCTATATATACAAACGAGTATGCACATTGTACAGGATATAATAATCTTGCGTGGATTAGACTAGCATTATGGATTTGATGTGCGTGGTCAAAGCTATCGTAGTCCTAATGGTAGCGATGGTGATTGGAGCTCGCGCGGCGCCGGTTCACAGGACCATCCAGGCATATACACTTGTGTACGTACATGCTATATATACCATCGAGTGACACGTACACATGTTTGTTTTGCTGATCATGCAAATAATGGCACAGAGTGACGACGGCGACATGATTGACTGCGTGGACATGTACCACCAGCCGGCGCTCATCAAGCGCGCTCCACTTGAGAAGAGCACAGAAATACTTCAGGTCTCTATCCTTCAAATTCTTCGTTGTCTTCTTTCTTTTTTGCCGACGCTGATTTTGACGTGTCAATCCCTCTTACTTCCTCGGATCGATCCTTTAATTAATCTGTTGCTGATTTGTGCTATGCTGACCTATATCTTGATCGGTGACGTACATCTCGCTAGGCGAAGCCGAAAAAGAGCATGAAATCGATGGCCGCCGCGGCGTCTGCGTCGAAACCGCCGGGCCATCACCACCACCAGACGTGGCGAAAAGTGCGCGGCCGGGAGCGTCCCTATCCGGAGAAACTCGAGCCGTACCAACCTGGAGGTCGCCGAGATGGTGCGCCGGGCCTCGCCGTTCGAGCGCCCTGCCATCGGCGGCAACGCCAGCTTCGATCTCCTAACCTCCATGGACACGTCCAACGGTAAAGTGGAGGTAATTACATTAAGCCCGGGTTTAGTTCGCGAAAACTTTTTTTCAAAAAGTGCTACAGTAGCCATCACATCGAATCTTACGATACGTGCATGGAGCATTAAATGTAGACGAAAAAAACTAATTACACAGTTTGATTGGAAATTACGAGACGAACATTTTAAGCCTAATTAGTGCATGATTGAACACTAATTGCCAAATAAAAACGAAAGTGCTACAGTAGTCAAATTTTCAACTTTCACCCAACTAAACACGGGCTAAGGCCTTATTTAGATTAGGCTTAGAAATCAGTATTTGACATTGTAGTACTTTCGTCTGTATTTGATAATTATTGTCCAATCATGGCCTAACTAGCCTCAAAAGATTCGTCTCGTAATTTACAATCAAACTGTGTAATTAGTTATTTTTTATCTACATTTAATACTTCATGCATGTGTCAAAGATTTGATGTGATGAATAGAGAGTGAAAAAACTTGTAATCTAAACAAGGCATGAGAGATTGATCTGGCTGCACTGCACTGCAGAGATCAGATCAGTCGCCATGCATGCTTTGTGATGTGACTGGAGTGGTGTTCGTTTTTGTGGATGGGCGCGTCTCGACCTGACTTTCTGTCAGTACGTACGTATACGTTTTCAGTGTTGGGATCGTATGTGAATTAGTTGCTGTATGTATGCATGCAGGTAGCCGCAGCGTACGCCACCAAACGGACCGTACCTTGGTGCTCGAGCAGACGTGCCATACCGTCCACCCTGACGAATTCTCGATGAACTACCTTTTGATTGGCAATACGCTGGACGATAATTATCACGGCGGTCAGCCACCTTCTACTCTTACCCACCAGATTGCGGCGGTTGGTCTCGTGGTGAGCGTAATTACCCCTATTAATTTGATCTTTTTTAATCTATAATATATAAAATAAAAATGTAGCTATACTCGTTTATCATGGAGGTGTGAGGCCGGAACATTTTACCCCTAAATCTAAAAAAAACCTTCCTTGAAGATATGCCACCTTCTACTCTTACCAACCAGAAATTCTTGAGGATATGCTTAATTTTGTATTAATTATGGGCTCGGCATATATAGAAATGTAAACCTTCCTTTTTTTGGTCTATGGTTAAAAAGGTAGGTTAACGCCCTGTTGGCTTGACTTATAAGCCGTACTTTTTCAGCCAACGAACATTATTTTTCTCTCACAACAAATCAACCAACAGTACTTTCAGCCATGGTTTATCAGCCAAACGAACAAGGCATAATTGCTCAATTATGGGTATGTCTACGTTTCTGGTGATTGATGGTTTTCTTATTATGGCTCCCAATTCCATGTGTTAGCTGCGGAAGAAACGGCAATAATACCCCAATTCCATCGGCCCCGTTCGTTGGAAGAAATTTAGAGGAATCTGAATGGTTTTGAATAAATCTAGAGGAATTTATGAGAGAAAATACTGTTTTGAATGAAAAAAAGAAGCGGATCAATTAGGTTTAAGGACACACGAGGCCATTATCACGAACGTTCGCTCGTTTTTTTTTCCAGCGAACGAAGCACCGCACCAACCCACCCAGAATCCAGTTTTGACGCGTGTTTGCGTTGGCGAACGTATCGGCCGTCTTTAATTTTGGGACACGTGGTGGGCCTATGCTTGAAGACAGTTGCGATGATTAATTAGTTCTGGTCGTTCGGGTGACATATGATTTTCGTTCCCCATTTCTATTTAGCTAACATCCAAATGATTCCTAAAAAAACATCCAAATGATTCTTTTTGTGATATGTACGGACGTGTCTTCTTCATTTGCTGTTACGAACGTTTCTTTTTTTCCTTCCTTTATTTTTCTTTCTAGCATTTTTTATCTTTTCTTTGTTACATATTTATAAGTTATACTACGTTTCCGTATATAGTTTTAATGTGTTATGATATTAATTTATACATTCAAGTTCTTAATATAACTTACATGTCCAATTTTAAATTTAAGTCATTCATCAAGTTATATATCGATAAATATGATTTTTGCCTTTTTTAGGGGGCAACACATGTTACAAACAAAGCTTGAATGTAAAAAAAAAACAAGAAATTATATTATCTTGTAATCACGTTACGAGAAAAAAAAAGGTCTAGGACAAGTTAGAGGGCGTATGCTGTGGCAGAACCAAACAGTTTAACCTAATCTCAAGCGTACTTGTCAGCCATTTGACACTAAGTGATAAGCGAGTCAAACCCGCTAGCCTATCGAGCCTACCCAGATAAAGAGCTCGAAACAATCCACGTTTCACCAGAAACACAAATGACAACACAAAACATAAAAACCATTTCTTACATTAAATGATTAGAATATCAGAGTTATTAAAAAAGAGTTTTTTAAAGCAACAGAAGATAACTCTTATAAAAGCAGTGGAAGTAAAACAATTTTCATCATGTAAGCCACGTCCAGTTCATCCAGATCTCGTGGCTGTGCTGTTAAGCCGGGTTACAGGCTTCAAGAACCGGTCCTTAAAATCCGGCAGAAACTAGCACAAACTCGTTGCACCATTTATAACTTTTAACCAGAAACATTTACCCAATTTGCAACAACATACCACCACAAGCATCCTACCGGATTTCCTAATCACCATGTTACTAAAACATTACCACCCCACATTGCATAGATCATTAAATCAAGATTAAATTATAACCTTCCTAGCCCAATATAACAAGCTAAGCATGACCATCTACCCAACCCAACCAGGTTACAAGGATGATATCACAAAGACAAGTAAACACTAACATGAGATTCAAATTTAGACTTAGCATGCAGCTATGGTCTAACTAATCTAACTCAAAATAAAAACAAATGTAGGAGAAAGTATGGTCAAGGACACTTCGCCTTTAAAAGCTATTCAGAGAGTTTCTTTTCCTTTCTAGTTGAACCTTGGTCAACTCTTCTTCGACAAATAGCAACAACGGGAACAAGCATAATAAAGAAACCTAAAAACAGTACATCAATCATAAAAAACACTATAAACAGCTGCTAACGCGTAGGGCTTGTTTCTACGAACTCGTGAGCGCAAGAACTATCTAAAACAGACAGTTTGAAAGTCTAGTTTCCGGGGCACTTTGATAAATAAAAGGATTTATATGTAAACACTTTATTATAAAAGTAAAACAGGTTAAATCATTTTTATGGAAATTCATTTCTGTTTGGGCCAAAACAGAATTAACTGTAGGTTGCAAGGGTTAGGTTGAAAGAATAGCATGACTCAAAGAATTTTGGATTGATTCATGAGAAGGGAGAGGCTAGATTGAATAAAGCAGCTGTTCGGAGCATTGACCCATCTGGCTAGGTGGTTGACGGGACACGTGGTATGATACGATTGGACGAAGGAACTGACGTGGCAAACCTTTGACTTTGGTTGACCGAGGTCAAAGATGCATTTGGACCATTCAGATGAGATCCAACGGCACAAGGAGGAGCTCCCTTCTCTGCTTCTGCGTGTCAGGGCAAAGTAGAGCGCCAGACGGCCCTGCTCGCTCAGCCTTTGTCGGAGCGGAGCTTCGAGGACCCGCGGCCTCCGGCGAGCGGTGAGGAGGTAGCAGGGGACATAGAGAACTCACGGTGGAGCCCATGACGGTGGGGAAAGAGCACCGATGGAGATCGAGACGGTGGGGTGGACGAGAATAACCACCGCAGATGGGACGGCGACGATGCTGGCTCGGGATGGCGACGCTATGCAACAGGGTGGTCTCGCCGTGATCTTGAGATTCCAAAAGAACAAACAGGGAGGCGAATGGTCATGTCTGTGTGGAGATCAGGAGCTCGAACCGAAGCTCGGTAATGGCGGCAGCTATGGTGATCCGGGCCGATGGAGTAGGATAGAGGGCAGGGGGAGGGGCGGGGTGATTGCGGAGTGGAGTCACTATGTCGGGGCTTCCCTTAAATAGGGCAGAGAGGGAGGATGAGGAACCGGGTCGCTAGCTAGTGCGGCGTGCCATCAATGGCGACAGGCGCTGACTGAGCTGGGGAGGAGAGGAAGGGGACGGCTAGGAAGGTTCGGCGTGCAGATCTTGACCAAAAGGATGGGAGGCCTTGGTCACGCGGGCTGCCCGGTCCACTGGCAGCCCGGTCATGGCGGAGGGCGAAGGCGATCGGAGACCGCAGGAGGTGGGAGACGGTGCCGACAGGTGGGGTCCACCAATCAGTGGCTCCGTGGCTCGAGGGCGTGGGGCGAGCATGACTGGCAGGCGAGGCCCGCTAGGCACTGGCAGCGAGAGAGAGCGCTCATGTGGCTGGCTGCGACTCGAAGTTGGGCCAAGGCCCAGAGAGGGGCAGGAGGAGCAACACGAGTGGGGAGAGATGGGCTTAGCCCAAGCCGAAGGAAGGGGGGAGCAGATGGGCTGGTCGGCGCAGGAGTGGACGACGGCCCAGGTGAGGAGAGAGAGGACGTGGCACCATGAGAATTCAGGAAAATCTTGTAGTAGGGAAGATAGAGAGGATACGGTGGACGGCCCAAATACAGCCCAGATGAGGGGAAAGGGCCTATGCGTAATTGGTCGTTCCCCTTCTTCGTCGTCACCCACGCTACGAACCCTAGATGGGTGAAGTTGCTCTTGCGCGTCCCTATTCGATGCCCGCCATGGAGATCGGGTTGTCAGATCAGTCGCTCTCTTCGATTGTCCCTAGCTAGGTGGTCGTGGACCAGCATATCTCCCACAATGCACTTGCCTCCTTCCGCCCCCGACGACCCTACCTCCACGAAGACCTCCGCCAGCAACGGCGAGGTCATCCGTGTCTCTTTCACCCTGCGCCCACTGCTGGGTCAATCATGCCTTTGCGTCCACTGGCCGAAGATTCGCAAGCTGTTCGGCTTCGACAACATTGTGGTGGCGCATGACAATGCCATACTTTTCCATCTTGAGGTCAACTTCGATGGACTCCCCTCATCGTGCTCCACGATCGACCACTTCATCTACTGGGCCAGCCCTTACGGTCCCAGGATCTCACTGCTCCCACGTTGGTACTCGACCGAGGAGGAGATAAAGGCAGCTGAGGTGAGCTCCTGGAGGAGAAACCCATGGATGACTCTAGGCCGCAGAGGCACTGGATTGCTTATTTGTGATAGAGAAGTGTTGGGGATCTAATACTGGGGTACCCAATGAGGTGGAGCTAATAACCATCAAACGTTGATGCTCTCAAGCAGACAAGAACGCAACTGCGCTTCTTGTCCATACGACCGGAGGTTGGCCACGCCTCGCCCGACCCCCGAGGGTTGGACTCCGCCTCGCCCGACCCTCGAGGGCTGGACTTCGCCTCGCCCGATGCCTGGGGGCAGACTCTGCCTCGCCCGATGCCTGAGGGCAGACTCCACCTCGCCCGATGTCTGGGGGCAGACTCCGCCTCGCCCGATGGTTGAGGGCTGGCTCCGCCTTGCCCGACGATTGAGGGCTGGATCTGCCTCACCCGATGACTGAGGGCTGGCTCTACCTTCCCCGATGTCAGAGGGCTGGCTCTGCCTCGCCCGACCCCTGAGGGCCAGCTCCGGCTCGCCCGGCGACTGAGGGCTGGCTCCGCCTCGCCCGACGACTGCACCCTGCTCCTTCATAACGATGGGCATAGGGTAAGATAGGACATTCGATTCAACCGTAGTACCGAGGACCATGCCCTGCACACCTGCAGGAAAGTACCATCAGGATACGACGGGATGGGTGCTTTAAGCCCTTCTAGGCATGGCAGAACCCGAACAGTGTTGTAGGCGCCGACTTTTGTCTTACAGTGTTGTGGGCGTCGCCATTAGCCCTCGAACACGGATCCTGACATAAGCATACGACAACCACTACAATCCAAGAGAGAACTCGCATCATCTATAGTTACGGACGTATAGTCCCTTCCCCGCTTGCTCTCCGTAGGATCATGGCTTGGCACCCCGGCACGCCGCACCGTCCGCCGGAGTGGGATGGGACATAACCACTTGCTGAAGCAATGCCAGA